TTACAATGAGCAACAGTATGTGCTGGTAAAGGTGATAATTCGTAATGTTTGCCAATGTTTATGGTTTAAATTCTCCCACCAAGATCTATTTCAAGCTGTCAACATCACATCACTGAACACAGAGTTAGTAAAAGATGCACAGTAGCATACAATTATATAGGTTTTCTTTCATACAAATATAAAACACAAATAATCTCAAGAGCATAGAATAGTAAGATGTAATAATGAATTTTGAGTTTTTATTTTGGTTGTTTAATATGGTTTGTTTATTTGTAATTTTTTAATTATTTATTCATTTATTCTTGTAGTACTGGGGATTGAACCCAGGAATGTTCTACCTCTGAACTACATACTGAGCACAGTTTTAAAATTTTAATTTTGACACAGAGTTTTAATAAATTGTCTGGCTGGCCTTGAACTTGCAATCCTCCTCCAAAGTAGCTGGGATTACAGGCAAGAGCCACCATACTCAGCTTCAATTGCCCTTTGACAAGGAAATGAAAGACAACTAAATGGGAGAAAGAACAAATAGTACCGTATAACTGGATATCCACAGGCAAAAGAATAAGTTGGGTTTTTACCTCACGGCCATATTACAAAAAAAAAACCTGAAAATGAATTATAGTTCTAAATATAAGATCTAAAACTATGAAACTCTTAGAAGACCCCTAGATAGAGAAATGAAAACTTGTTCACACAAAAACTATTGCACAAATGTTCACAAAAGCGTTATTCATGATAGCTAGAAAAGTGGAAACAATCCGAATGTCCATCAACTAATGAACAGGTAAAATTTGATATATCCATATTATGGGATGCTTTTTGTTACTATAAAGAAATAGTGATACCTAGATGAACCTTTTGTTACTATAAAGAAATACTGATACCTAGATGAACCTTGAAGATACTTATGCTAAGTGAAAGAAGCTAGCCACAAAACACTGCCTATTTTGTTACCCCTTTTATATGAAAATGTATGGATTCAGCAAATTCATAGAAGCAGAAAGTAGATCAGTGATTGCTTAGTGCGTGGGGGAGAGGATGGGACAAAGAGCTGACTGCTCATGGGCATGGGTTTTCTTTGGGGGGGATGAACATATTTAAAACTTGGACTGGGGTGGAGTTTGCACGATATGAGGAGTATACTAAAAGAACTGAATTGTACACTTTAAGTGGATGAATTGCATGCTCTGGATTATAGCTCACTAAAGCGATTTATTTATTTATTTATTTGGGTACAAGGGATTGAACTCAGGGGCACTCGATCACTGAGAGACATCCTCAGTCCTATTTTGTATTTTATTTAGAGACAGAGTCTCACTGAGTTGCTTAGCACCTCGCCGTTGCTGAGGCTGGCTTTGAAATCCCAATCCTCCTGTCTCGCCTCCTGAGCCTCTGGGATCACAGGCATGTGCCACTGCACCTGGCTAAAGTTATTTCTAAAAAATTCTATGAGGAAGGCTGGGGGTGTAGCTCAGTGGGAGAGCCCTGACCTAGCATGCATGAGACCATGGGTTCAGTTCTCAGCACTATAACAGCAAATAAAGAAAAAAACACAACAAATATGAGGAGAGGGAGTGAGCAGGTATATGGAAATAAGACCGGCCGTGGGTTGGTAAATGTTGAAGGTGGGAGATGACTATGTCTTTATTCATAATGCTATTGTCTCCATTTATTTACATTTTGTGTTTTCTGAAATAAAAAGTTAAATTCAACATTTCCTAGAGTGCTCCCAGGTGCTCACCCAAATGTTCCCTGGCCTCCCCCAGTTCATGTGCCCAGAAAGGAACATCTGTCCTCTAGCCAGGGTGTGGTGGGTGTTTGACATATAACCTGAGTCCACTGGCAGCTTTCACTGTCCCCTCCTCCATTGACTACAGTGTTGCATACACAAGAACTTGGCCAGCGCTGCCACAGCCTAGCCTCTGGACCAACCCTCTGCTAGGGTGGTCACTCCTCCCTGGTCCCTCCTCAGATGGCTGACAACTCTTGCCTCCTCCTCCCCTCTCCCAGTGGGAACTACCTTGTTCTTGTCACTGTTGAACATCAGAGGGAGCTCACAGTAGCGTAGCTAGGATCCCAGTGGCCCAGCCCTTTCCTTGGCCTTGGACCCTCTCTGTCCCCAACAGACCCTCTCTGTCCCCAACAGACCCTCTCTAAGGGCAAGCATAGAATAGGCCACCAAGGCCCTTAGCTCCCTCACTGCTATACCCAGTAGCTCAGTCCTGCTTTTCTTCCAAATATCTTCCACCCCACAGTGCCTTCCGGGCCCTCCTTCCTGACAGTTCCAGTAAAGATGGATGCATCTCTGATTCCAAATGAAGTCAAGTTGCTTCCTACAGGGCTCCTGAATCTTGGGCAAATGAAGGGACATATGTGTCTAGGCACTGTGTCAGGGCCCTGGAGGTCCCCAACAATTAAGAAGCCCTGGTGCTCAATATGGTGGGATGTGCTTGTAATCCCAGATACTTGGGAGGCTGAGGCATTGCAAGTTCAAGGCCAGTCTCAGCAATTAGCAAAGCTCTAGGCAACTTAATGAGAACTTGTCTCAAAATAAAAATTAAAAAGTTCTGGAAAAAAAAGTTCTGGAGATGTAGCTCAGTGGTTAAACATCCTTGTGTTCAATCCCAGTAACAACAAAAAGCCCTGGAGAGGCACTGGAATGCCCTACAACACTGAGGCAATGAGTCCATCCAGTTAGGTGGATCTATCTGATGGCTCACACCTCTGTTGTCCCTTTTAGCCAAAGTCTAGGATTACAGGAAAGGTGGCCTGGCAGAGAGAAGAATGGAGGAGGAATCAGAGCTGGGTTGAGACTACCATGGCAAGTGGTAGAAGCAGAGTTGCCAGGGCCTGATTACTAATTGAAAGTAAGGGCTAGGGAGAATGTTTCCAGGTTGGGGGACCACATAAAATATGATGACCTTAGTTGGATAGGAGATAAGAGGACCCAGCTCAGGTGTGACTGTTGAGATGGAGATACCTACAGATGTCTTGGGGGATGTGAGGGACACAGCTGGAGTTGGGGGTCTATCACTAAGTCAGCAGTATGTAGTAAGAGAGGCCACTGCAGATATGGTGTCTCCGTCTAGGGCCCAGTTCCCTTTTACACCTGCTGTCTAGTGTCTGGGTTATGCCTGTTGTCCTGGCAGGGCAGGGAGGCAGTGAGTACCTCCTTTACTCTCTAAAGCATCCCAGTTTGGATGACATATGGTCACCCTACTCAAGAGAGACCCTATGGGGTAGAAAGAAAAATGAACCTAGGGTACAACCTTTCCATTCACTGGCCTTTTTCACCACTTCACCCTTCTATTCCCTTCTTAGAGCCCTGTATTTTCATATCTCTCTCTCTCTCTCTCTCTCTCTCTCTCTCTCTCTCTCTCTCTCTCCTGAGGGTTGAAACCAGAGGTGTTATACCACCAAGTTACAATCCCAGACCTTTTTATTTATTTGCTTAGGACCTCACTAGATTGCTGAGGCCTGGGAACTTGTAATCCTCCTGTCTCCCTCTCCCAAATTACTGGAATTACAGTCATGAGACACTACTACCACCTTGATTTCTTTGTCCTTTCTGCCACCTATCTCCTTCCCACTTCCCTGAGAATTACCCCACCCACCCCAGCCCCAGGAGAAATTGGATCCCCAAGGTACCCCAAATCACTGGGTTGGCTGAAAGGAAAGAAAGCCTTCCCCTGTGGTTGGTGGGTGAGGGATGGTATGGAGGGCAGGTGGCATGGAGTGGCAGCCAGCCTTCAGTCAGGCTCTTCTCCTTCACTCTGTGTACCTTGGAGCAAAGCACTTCCATTCTCAGAGTCTCAGTTCCCTCTTGCAACAGGTGGAGATGGGGCCAGTCATACAAAACATCTCTTTTCCTGAGAAGTTTTCATCCTATATGGTGACATTTCTCTTGGGGTTCAGGCCGGATATTGTCACCTCAGAAGGGAGGGTTTCGTATGTATGTATGGCCCTCCCGAGGGTCCCCAGGCTGAGGACTAGAGTCAATGGGGCCCTTGAAGGATCAGCCAAGGTACACCAAGGCCCACTTCTTATTGGTGTAGCATTGTCGGCCTGCCCGCTACAGTCCTGCACCAGCCACTGACTACCTGCAGAGGGCGCCGCAGACACACCGAGGGCGAAGGGGTTCTCAGGATGGGTAGCGAGGCCAAGGCCACACCGGCAGCTTCTGGGAAGGGCTTCCCAAAGCGAGCGCCGGAGCTGGAGCCTAAAAGGGTTGGAAGGAGGAGGAGACCAGGAAAGGAAGAGCAGGCTTGGGGATGTAACTCAAATGTTTAACGACCTGGGAGAACTGACCACTGGTTACCAGCTCAAGCCTCAGTTTCCTCATTTATAGAATGGACCCAAGGACTAGTGAAAACCGGGTAAGAAGGCGCCAGGAACTCGGAAAGTGGTCTACGAGGGAGGAGCAGCGGGTGGTACCAGGCAATGAGATTTGCAGTCAACCTGGTTTCAAGTTTTGACTGTCACCTGCTCCTACGCCTCAGTTTGCTCCACGGTGAAGTGGGAACAACGAAGCTGCCTCGCCCGGCTCTGCGAAGCTGGACGCTAGAAGCAGGAACCACAGATAGGTTCGCAGCCCCCGAACTCAGAACAGGCGTTTTGGGTAATGGAACAGGACCATCTCGGGGGACTTCTCGTGTCACAAGGGGCGCGACATCCCTTCCAGGGGGTAAAGGGGACCCAGACATATTCCGCTGGGAAGGGGAGGCCGATCTCCACCCGGTCGCGCAGATACCACTTCGGAACTTCGTTTTCCTCCCAGCCTCCCCATCTCCCCGGTCACTGGCTGTCACCTGGGTGCCGGGGTGCGCCGCGGGCTAGCGGCCGGAGGGGGGCGGGCCTTGGCTTCAGGCGCGGGCGGGGCGAGGGGCGGGGGCGACGGGGCCGACCGAGGAGGGGGCGGGCGCCCCGCGGGAGGCCGGCCACGTGACGCCCGCCGCCCGGCGGGGCTGCCTGCCCTGGAGCGACGCGGCGGCCCCAGGAGGTTGCGGCGGGCGCGGAGCCCCGGCCGCGCGGGACTGGCCGTCGGGGCCCCGGGACGGCGGCCCCGGGGGCGCCCATGCCATGGAGAAGCTGGCGGCCGGGCTGGCCGGCCTGCGCTGGAGCATGGGCGCCTTCCCGCTCGATCTCATCGTCAGCCGCTGCCGCCTGCCCACGCTCGCCTGCCTCGGACCAGGTACCCAGGGGCCTGGGGAGCGGGCCTGGGGTCCGTGGGGGAAATCCCGGGGCTCTGCAGGTGCTGGCGGCGCCGCGTGGAGGATTCGGTCCTTGCCCTCCCGGCTCCCGAGGGCTGACCCCTTGCGGCTCCTAGAGCGCTTCCCCAGGACACCCCGGGCCCACGAGCCCAGGATCCGCCTCCTAGGCCCCACGGACCGGCACAGAACAGAAACCGGGGACAGAGCCCAGGATTGAGTTTTCTGTCCCCTCGGGAGCCCGGAGTGCAGTCGAGCCACCGCGCCCGTCCCGTCGGTGCACCCCTTTCCCCGCTGCCCCTTAGCCCCCGCCCTGGCCGCGCCCCCCTCGTTCCCTTTGTCTGTGGCCTCCCACCTCACCCTACCGCATCCCTTGGGCACCTTACTCCGTCTTTCCCCCTCTGGCACTCCCTAGTCCCGTTTGGCCCCTTCTAGGACTTTTTCTGCACCCTCTTCTGACATCCCGGAGAGCGGCCTCCGGTCCTGCGGACGGACAGGCTACCTTCCGGAGAGGCCCGAGTGAGCGGGCCCTGCCGCCAGACATCCCCCCAAGATCCTTCCACTCCCCGACCTCTGGACCCGCTTCTCCATAGGACCCAGGGTCCCGGGCTGTTCCGCTGATGGGACCGTACATGGGGGCCTGAGAAGGGACGCCTGGAGGTTGCATGGATCGAGGGGACCGTTTGGGGGAAGAGGGGTTGCTTGGCTGGGGGAGGGGCGGGAGCTGGGGCTGGCTGCCAGGCCGGGGGTTTTGTGTGTGAGAAGAATAGGGGTTTGGCCCGCGTTGGCACACTCGCTTCCCTGAATGCTAATAGGGCTCCTCTGCTCTCCTTTCCGCCCGCCCGGCAGCCCCTCCTCCGACCCACAGCGGCACGGAGTGGGATCAGAGAGCGTCAGCGTGTCCCTGAGCACTCCCTAAGAGAGCACACATGCCGGGGCCGCCTGGTTGTCCCACTTTTGTTCTCGGGATCTGTACTGATGGTCACCCTGTGATCCTGAGACTGTCGGTGTCAGCAGCAAGGCTGTGTATGTCTGCGTGTAAATGGGATATGCTGTCCTGGGTGCTTCCTGGCTACTTCCCACACAACCTCTTGGTCATCTCCCCTGCCTGGGCGCTTTTTCTGAGCTCCTCAGTCTCTTAGAGCTGCTTGGGGGCTCTGTTGGCACCTGTCTTGTCTCCTGCTGTGCAACCCATTATAATGGTCAGTTTCTTGTTCTCAGCTGCAGGCTCCTAGAGGGAGGGCATCCTTGCCTAACAAAGGTTGTGGATTAAATGAAAGAATAAGTGAACAATGGCGTGGTGGCCCTGCGGTTTTGTCAGTGTGTGCCTCTGGCTGTGTTCACCATTAGAGTGTGAATGTGATCAGATGTGTGTCCTTGAAGGTCCCTGTGTGCCTCTGCGTTAGGGAGGGACCCCATGGTGGCGTCATGAATTTGAGTGATGTTGTTTGGGTGACAAGTACCTGTCTCTGTAGGCTGTTGTGATTGAACTGTTGGTGATCATGACCCATGGCTCTTGGTGTATGTCTGTGTGGCTTTGGCCTATGTTCCTACCGAAGAATGGGAGGGGCTCAGCGGAGCTCCAGCAAGAGATTGTAGAGTTCAGAGCTTCTTCTGTCCCAGGAGGTGAAGAGTTGAGGAGGAAGACTCAGATGACACCTTCTCTGTAACACACACACACACACACACACACACACACACACACACCAACCACACCAGTAGGAACACTGCAAGCCTTGAATACCACTCCCGTCCTCCCACCCCCAACTTAATGGAGGCCACACATTTTATGGAGGCTGAGCCATCAGAGTAAACCATTTCCCGTCTGGCTGACTGGCAGAAATTTAGTAAGTTGTGTCTGAGGGGACTGGGAAGGAGTAGTGCCCCACCCCCACCCCCACCCTGTCCACCAGCTGCAGCCAGGAGATGCCTGCCCATCAGCCTCCTGGAAGCTGGGCTGCCCGTCCTGCTCCCCTGGAAACCGTTGCTGGGGTTGCAGCCTCCTGGGCTCAGGCCCTTTCCAACTCCAATGCCTCAGCCCCAGTGCTGCTTTCCTGGACTGGGCTCCCCACTACTGCCTTTTAAATCTGCCTCCCTCTACCCCCAGGAGAGGAAGGACTTCTGTGAGATGGGGTATGGTATCAGGGGCTCTTCCCCTGCCTTTGGAAGGGCTTATAGCCTATGCAGTGGGCGGAAAGGCTATCCACGAGAAAGCCCGGAATCAGCTCCTGTAACACTGCCATTCTCCTGACCTCAATGACCTGTGGCTCTGAGGAAGTTCTCACAGCTGGGACCCACAAGGGACAGTCCCTTCTCAGTCCTCTCTACTCCCCCAACAAGGCCCTCCTTGACTGCCTGGCACTGGCTTGGGCACCAAGGGTCCTACTGGGGTGAATTTGGTCCTGAGCTTCAGCCCATCTCCAGCCCATCTTCATCTCCTTCACTCCACCCCCAGCCCAAGCCACTGTTCTACTCTTTTGAGTCCCCAGACACTCTCTGTTTAGTGCATCAAACTTGCTGTTCTCATGTCCCAGGAGGCCTGAGGGCTCTTGGAGGGCAGAGGCCGGCTGTGCTCATCCTCTGGGAGTCTCCAGCTCCTCTCAGGCCAGGACAGCAAGCACTCTGTGATGAATGAGGGCCTTGGCTGGGCTAGGGGGGAGGCCCCATTGGGAGTCAGGGCTCTGAGAGGCTCAAGCTTGACTCACAGCCGAAAAGCCACAGCTGGCATCCACCTGTCCCTTGAGTATTGCTGACCTGGATGGGGATCAGATCATGGGGAGTTGTCACCAGGCAGGGTCTTGGTCTGAGGAGTTCACCCTGCTTGTTTTTCTGCCCCTCCTAACGTTCCCTCTTCCTTTCCCTCCTCCTCTGTCCTTTCTTCTCCCAGGGGAATATGCTGAGGGCGTCAGTGAGCGAGACATCCTGCTCATCCACTCTTGCCGCCAGTGGACAACGGTGACAGCTCATACCCTGGAAGAGGGCCACTATGTCATAGGGCCCAAGATCGACATCCCCCTGCAATACCCAGGTGTGCCCAGCCAGGGACAGATGACATAAAGGCTTTGGGCTGGGGGTTGGGAGAACAGAGGTAGAGGGGAAGCTGTTGGTGATCACCTTTCATTGAAGCTGCAGAGGTGAGCGAGGAAGGACATGGCAGGCAGGGTGGTACTTAGGGTCAGGGTGGGAGTTAGGGCCGAGTGGTGTCCCTGTTGTCCTGTGGAGTCTTGGGTTTCTGGAGAGGTGGCTCTCAGGTTTACAGACCTTTGTTCACATTTTATTTTAGAATAGATTTTTTTTTTTTTTTTTTTTTTTTAGAGAAAGAAGAGAGAGAGAGAAATAATTTTTTTAGTATTTATTTTTTTCAGTTTTCGGTGGACACGACATCTTTATTTTATTTTTATGTGGTGCTGAGGATCGAACCCAGCGCCCCGCGCATGCCAGGCGAGCGCGTTACCACTTGAGCCACATCCCCAGCCCTAGAATAGATTTTAAGGTAATGATTAAATCACTACAAATTAAATCTTACCCCTAATTGAAGGCCTTCAGTGTATGCCTTGAGCTGCCTCATTAACCTTTTTTTGTGTGTGCAGATCCCCATCGAAAAGATCTCCTGCCAGGATCTCAGTATTGTCCAATCAACCTTCAGAAACCTAGTGATCCCTGTCAGCGTTGATTCTCTTTTCCTAGTTTGTGGGTTAAACTCACTGCTTTCCTTGATTGGCTTTATAAGCAAATGTTAAAGCTTTGAATTTAGGATTATACTTTTATGTCTTTTATTTATGATGGTGATTGTATAAGATTGTTTGCTGTGCACTGTGGCGCACACTGTAAACCCAATAATTTGGGAGACTGAGGCAGGAGGATTTTAGGTTCTAGGCCAGCCTCAGCGTCTTAGGAGCCTGAACAACTTAGTAAGACCCTATGTCAAAATAAAAAATAAAGAAGGCTAGGGATGTATTTCAGGGATAGTGCAGCCCTGGGTTCCATCCCTAATATTTGGGGGGGGGCAAAGATTTTGTTTGAAGAAAAAGTTCTGCTGACAGCAACAAAAGCAGCCCTTTCATTCTGCAGATGATGAAACCTAGTACCTAAGGAGGACAGTGACCTGCCCAGGGTCACACAGCAAGTAAGGGAAGGTAAAAGCCAGCAGCGAGGTGTCTTGACTACTGGACTGGTTCTTGCTGCATGGTGCCAAGAATGCAGGGCTGTCGTCCCTGGTGTGGGAGGGATGGGAGTCTGTGGTCCAGTCCTAGAGTATCCCATTTGAGCCAGGGTGTGACAGCTGTTCCAGACCCTGGGTTGAGCAGTTATTTCATCCTCACAGCTAGCTTGTGAGAAAGGGACACGTCCCTTAACTTACCCAAGACTGAGACTCCAGATCTTCCGTAGCTAGTCCTGTGTTTTTCACTGCAGCGTGACTTCCCAACAAAAGCTGAGAACTTTTTGAGCTGGAAAGTCTTGCAGTCCCATTGACAGGTGCCACTACCTCCATCAGCCTCCCCTTGATTTGGGACAGGGCTAAGTAAGCCCTTTTCACAGACTTCAGCTCTTTACAACACCCCCCCTCCCGCGTGGGGTTGCTACTGCCAAACCTCCCCACACTCATGAAAAGGTGAGGAAATTATCCCAGTGGCTTCCTGACTTTGGGTTCTGTCCTGACTGCAGGCTTTGGGGGCCGCCTCGAGCTAGAAATGGCCTAACCTCAGGATCTGGCAGTAGCTCTGGAGAGTTATCAGGTCTTGGAATAAAGCAAAGGATGGGTAAAGCCCTCACTGACAGAAAAGTGACTCCAGCAGGGACTTCTTTCATTTCAGTTGCATGATTAAAACTGGGAAACCAAGGTACAGAGTCTTCTCAGGAATTATGGGCCCAGGGGACCTCAACCCTGTCATCTGTCTCTTTTGGTGCTCCCTGTAGGCATGAGTAGGGTGGGCGCAATAGGCGACAGCTGGCCTACCGAGGGTGGCCGCCCCAGCCCGGCCTTCCCGCTGGGCCGCGGCGGGGTGGGCGGCCTCGGGTTGACCAGGAGGCTGAGTGCAGGCCAGGCGCCGAGCCCTCCGGATGAATTAGTAATGGTGCTCCGAGGGCAGGGCAGCCGGCTGCGGACCGCGGAGAGAGCCACGGCCAAGTGGGGGAGGGGAAGGAAGAAGAGGGAGGGCGAGCCGGCGACGCTGCCTGGTGACCAGGGTCTCCACTGCGGCCCTCTGAAGTCGGGAGGACCTGACTTCGCTGAGAGAATCCCCGCTGAGGGGCCGCGCGTCGTTCCCAGGGGGCGCCACTTCCCCAGCATTGCCTGAACTGGTGCCCTGCGGAACACTGGGCAGGTGCGCGGGGTGAGCCACGTAGAATGCTTCCATTTTACAGACGGAAAACTGCAGCTGGGGAGATTAGATAATTTGCCTAGGGTCCCCCAGCTGGTTGGTGGCCGACTGATTCTAAAACATGCTTCATCCACCGTATTCTTATTTCCCCCTTTCCTATTTGCGGTTCTGGGGAATCGAACTCGGTCTTGCGCGCTAGGCGAGCGCTCTGCCACGTAGCTACACCTGGGGGTCTTTATTGAGCTGGGGTCAGCTGCTGGGGGAAGGGGCGGTGAAAAAAAACCTGCTGTAGCCCCCAAAGTGCTTCAGAATGGAAGGGCGGATCAGCGCAGCGCAAATGTGTTCTGGGAAGAACCGGGCAGGGATTAGGGGCAGGGCGAGGGAGGCGGTGGGGGACCCTGCGTCCCTTGTGGGGAGAGGCTGGAGAGGAAGCCTCAGTGGGGAGGAGAAGGCGTCCAAAGGCCGAAGCATCACTCCCAGGAGGTCTCTCTTCCTTCCTCCCACCAGTAATGACCGGTGCTGAGCGGCCGAGGGGGGCGGTGCTGGGTGCCATGGTTACATCGATCTTCCCTGCCACATCCTCCCTAGGCTTCAGTCCAGACTTGGCTCCAAATCTCCCCACAGGGGGCAGCGAGCATTTCTCCCTGCTTGACTGCTTGTGGTTGGGGCGGAGGTTGTGTATGGATGGATATGGGGGAGGTGCTACGAATGAAGGGGACTGCTCGCTCACGGGTGGTAAGGTAGCAGAGTTCCTGCTTCCTGACCCCAGCACCCTCTCCCCATTTAATTTCTCTCCTCTCTCTCTCTTTCTTTTTCTCCTTCCTTCCTTCCTTCTTCTTTCTTTCTTGGGATTGAAATCAGGGGTACTCGACCACTGAGCCACATCCCCAGCCCCAAGCCTATTTTGTATTTTTTTTTTTTTTTAAAAAGAGAGAGTGAGAGGGAGAGAGAGAGAGAATTTCTTTAATATTTATTTTTTAGTTATTGGCAGACACAACATCCAGGTTCCCACTGGGGTCAACCTGGAGGTTGCCATTTCCATTCTCACCTCTAAGCTGAGTATCCTTTGTCCCTTCCTTCATCTCTCCTGTCATTTGAATCTGAGGAGTCTCCCTTCCAAGTATCCACTGGTCTGGTTTTTTCTTTCTTTCTTGGTTGTTTTTTTTTTTTTTTTTTCCTGTTCTTTGGATCTTTTCCAGAACTTGTTACTGAACTGTTTATCCAACTGGTTTTCTGTTCATCTTAATAGAGTTCACCTGGATCATGGTCTATCCTTGTCCAAAACCTTCCTTATTTCTTACAGAATAAAGTCCTCTTGCCTTAGCACAGCATCCAGAGCCCTTTCAAATACAGTTTCTTTCTACTCTTCCTCCTGTCTTACCTTCAGGCATGCACAATTTGGGGCAGATGATCTGATTTGTGTCCCTGTCTTAGCTTGTGCTATTTGTCATGTGAATGCCCATTCTGTAAAATCCCTTTCATCCCCACCTTTTTTTTTTTTGTAATGGGGGTATTAAAGCAGGGGCTTTTACCAATGAGGTGCATCCTCAGTTTTTATTTTTTTTAATGGATACAGTATCTTTTTATGTCTTTATTTTTATTCATGTGGTGCTGAGGATTGAACCCAGTGCCTCACAAGTGTGAGGCAAGGGCTCTACCACTGAGCTACAGCCCCAGCCCTCCAGTTTTTGGTTTGAAACAGGGTCTTGCTAAATTGCTGAGTCTGGCCTCAAGCTTGTAATTCTCCTGTCTCAACCCCCCCAAGTCACTGGGATTACAAGGCCTATGCCACTGTGTCTGGTGCCTTTGATTCTTAAGGTGCAGCTCATGGATCTCCTCGCCCTCTCTTGGGCAGATTTCTTCCAACCCAGCAGTCCTCTAGCTCTTTTGTCATGAGTCTGGTATAACACCTGTCACATCCTGCTATCATTAAGTACTGATTGGCTCACCCACTGTGTCTGAATTTCTTGGAGGGCAAAGTTAAACAGAGTTGTTCCCCTTAAAGGGTCTAGCATGGTGACTGACAAGCCTCAGGGAGGAGGTGAGCAACTAGAGCCCAGCCAGATCCTTGTCTTAGCATCTCCTCCTGTCTTAGCTTCCCCAGCTATTGGGATTACAGGTGTAAACCACCATGCCAGGCAAGGGCTGTGTATTTTGCTGACTCAGCAGATGTGGCTGCGCCATTAATGTTTGTGTCATAAATATGTGAGTGAACTGTGACAGAACCAATCATCAGGAGGACTAGAGACACCTCGTCTTCTCTCCATTTGTTGTTCGCTCACCTGTATTAGACTCATTCTATAGAGAAAAACTGGAAGAGGCCATGTATCCAATGGCAGGGTGGTTCAAAGTGGTCCTTGTGCTTATGTGGGTGGGCACATAAAAGATATGTGGCCAGTGAGGTGAGATAGTTTACATGAGTGTCAGTGTCACAGATTAGCATCACTTCTTTAAAGTCTGTCTGCTGGGGCATCTGCTGAGTTAGCAAAATACATAGTCCCTGCCTGGCATGGTGGTGCATACCTGTAATCTCAGCAGCTCGGGAAGCTAAAACAGGAGGAGATGCTAAGACAGGAGAAGATGCTAATACCAGGATGCTGGCTGGGCACTGTTTGCTCACCTCCTCCCTTGGGGCTTGAGCTAGATGACCCTCCCCCTGAACCCATGCTAGAGAACACCTCCTCTTCTGCCCATCTGAGTTCCAGAGGGACTGGTTGAGATGAATGTAGCAAGAAGTAGGGGCCTAGGGGGCTCTTAGGATGCAGGCCTCAAGGAGGCAGGCCCACCCCAGCAATTTGTATCCCCCTGTACAGGGAAGTTCAAGCTCTTGGAGCAGGCCCGGGATGTGCGGGAGCCGGTGAGATACTTCAGCAGCGTGGAGGAGGTGGCCAGTGTCTTCCCTGACCGCATCTTTGTGATGGAAGCCATCACTTTCAGCGTCAAGGTCAGTCCTCCCAGCACTGTGCATGGTGCCCCTCTCCATGGCCCCCTCCCTCAGGAACAACCCTGATAGTGACTGGAGAGTTGCCTTTAGGGTCTAGGAAGGAGAATGGCTTCTGGGAACTCATTGAGGACTTTTGGCACAATCAGTCCATGTCTGAAGACCAGGGCCTAAGGACTTCTTGGGACAGGTGGTGTAGCAGGAGTGGTTTGGGGGAGGGCTATGCCATGACTTGGAGATACTTCAGGAGAGCCTGTCCTGGCACTGCAGCTGCCCTAGCATCCCTTGGCGTGTGTGGGGTGTGGCTGTAGTGGGCACACAGTGCAGAGTCCTAGTCTGTGCAGCAAGCTCTTCACTGATAATAAACCCTTTATTTCTTTCTTCTCCTTTTTGGTACTAGGGATTGAACCCAGGAGCGCTTTACCACTGAGCCACATCCCCATCCCTTTTTAATTTTTTTTGAGACAGGTTCTCATTAAATTGCCAAGGGCCTCAAGGACTTTGCTGAGGCTGACTATGAATTTGCTATCCTCCTGCCTCGACCTCCCACCAGCTGGGATTACAGGCATGGGCCACTACTACCGGCCAATAAACCCTTTACTTATCCATCAAGTTCATTGCTCTTCACAGCCTTGTTGGATGGGTGGGACATTATTACCCAGATGGCAAAGATGATGTAGTAAGTTTGCTATTTACTGAATGCTTTCCCTGTACTTAAAGTCTGTTCAATCCCACAGCAACTCTTAGAAGTGAGAGTTGTCACATGAGGTAACTCAAGGCCCCCACAGGCAACCCATAAGGTTGCAAAGCCTCCACATGGCCTTTCCAGGAAGGGGCATGGGTTTCCTGACCTTCCGTCCAGTGCTCTTGCTCTGGTTCAGTCCTGGGAGTGCTGCTCTCCTGACCTGGACAGCCCCGCGTGGCTTTCCTTGGGACCCTGGCCAAGCTTGGCCTTGTCTGTGGGATCCCCAGGTGGTGTCGGGCGAGTTCAGCGAGGACAGCGAGGTGTACAACTTCACACTGCACGCGGGCGACGAGCTCACCCTCATGGGCCAGGCGGAAATTCTGTGCGCCAAGACCACCAAGGAGCGCTCGCGCTTTACCACGCTGCTGCGCAAGCTGGGCCGCGCCGGGGCGCTGGCCGGGGTGGGAGGTCCGGGGAGCGCGGGAGCTGCGGGCGGCGGTGGGGGTGCCAGGCCCATCAAAGGCAAGATGCCCTGCCTCATCTGCATGAATCACCGCACCAACGAGAGCCTGAGCCTGCCTTTCCAGTGCCAGGGACGCTTCAGTACGCGCAGCCCGCTGGAGCTTCAGATGCAGGAGGGCGAGCACACAGTGCGCGCGATCATCGAGCGCGTGCGGCTGCCAGTGAACGTCCTGGTGCCCAGCCGGCCGCCGCGCAACCCCTACGACCTGCACCCGGTACGGGAAGGCCACTGCTACAAGCTGGTCAGCATCATCTCCAAGACCGTGGTGCTGGGGCTGGCGCTGCGCCGGGAAGGCCCGGCGCCTCTGCACTTCTTGCTGCTCACCGACACACCGCGCTTCGCGCTGCCGCAGGGCCTGCTGGCCGGGGACCCGCGTGTCGAGCGTCTGGTGCGCGACAGCGCCTCCTACTGCCGGGAGCGCTTCGACCCGGACGAATATTCCACAGCCGTGCGCGAGGCGCCCGCCGAGCTCACCGACGACTGCGCCAGCCCGCGCCGCGCGCGCCTCTGCCTGCCTGCGCCGCGCGCCCCGGGGCCCGCGCGTGCACTCGGCCCGCCCCTGCCCGCGCCCTCCACAGACCGCGACCAGGAGGAGTACGTGAGCCCGGACTGGGCAGGTGTGCCCGAGCCCGCCGCGCCGCCCACCGAGATCCCCTATGAGGAGCTGTGGGCGCATCAGGCTCCCGAGAGCCTCGCGGAGGGCCGCGCCCGGCCGCCCCCAGGGCCAGACCTCATCTGTTTTGGAGCCGCGGGGTCTCCGCGTCGCGAGCCGGAAGCGCCGCCGCCTCCCGTCCCTCCCAAATCAGAGGCGGTGAGTGAGCCTCCTGGGACTGAGGAAAAAGACAAAACACTCAAAAGTATTTGTAGGAAGGGATACCAGGGGACGTGTTATGGGAGGTGTGGGAGCAAAGGTGCCAGCAGGCCCCCAACCTCAGAGATTTTGGGCGTGTCTGGAAAGTGTCACCTGGAAGCTTCCGGAATCCTTTAAGTCATTTAGTAAAAAGAAGGTCCAGTGGTGAAATAAGTTCAGAAAATGTTGAGTGTGATTCTTAGCCTTCATCTCTTTGCTTGAGAGTCACAGAGTGGTGGCATATTAAAGGCTCTGAAAAGTCCTGCATTAAGGAAACTTGATTGTTTCTTTTTAAAAGAAACCTTCATTTTAAATTTTTTAAATATTTATTTTTTAGTTGTAGTTGGACACAGTACCTTTATTTTATTTATTTATCTTTATGTGGTGCTGAAGATCCAACCCAGGGTTTCCCATGTGTGAGGCGAGAGCTCTACTGCTGAGCCACAACCCCAGTCCCTCATTTTTTTTTTAAAGAGTGAGAGAGAGGAGAGAGAGGGAGAGAGAGAATTTTAGTACTTATTTTTTAGTATTTGGAGGACACAACATCTTTGTATGTGGTGCTGAGGATCGAACCCGGGCCGCACGCATGCCAGGCGGGCACGCTACCGCTTGAGCCACATCCCCAGCCCCCCAGTCCCTCATTTTTAATTTTTTAAAATATATTTTTAAGATGTTGATGGGCCTTTATTTCTATTCATTTATTTATATGCAGTGCTAAGAATCGAACCCAATACCTCACACATGCTAGGCAAGTACTCTACTACTGAGCCACAACTCCAGCCCCAAGAAACCTGTTTAATACAGAGTTTCCAAAGCTTAATTGTCCACAGAACATTTTCCCTACCCATAATGCCATTAACATCCCAGGAAGTATTTGATCTATAAGAAAGCATAGGGAGGTGCTTTACCTATAAAGAAGGGATCCAGATGGCAGTGACTTTTGCTTACCTTTGTTTCCTCTATCGCACAGTTTTCTTCTTTTTATTGAGGAAGGAATATGTCTGTTTATCTTTCCTTTTTTTTAAAAAAAATCTACTTACAGGGGAATAGGTGTGTACTGTGGCAAAAGTATGTGTGGATGAAATAGGCTGGGGTGGTGAGTGGCTGGGTGGGTAGTTGGGGTGTCTGGCAAGGCAGCCTCTTGGCAAACTTGGGCAAAGTGTCAGTCCCAGACAACCCTCTCCCAGCTACTTGGAAAAGGGAAGATATGGGGTGTCAGTTGCCTGTGACAGTGGAGTCATGGCTCTCTGCCTACAGGTGAAAGAGGAGTGCCGCCTCCTGAATGCACCCCCTGTGCCTCCCCGGGGTGGCAGTGGCCGGCTCTCAGGCAGCCCCCCTGTGCCGCCCCGTTTCCCCAAGCTGCAGCCTGTCCACTCACCCAGCTCCAGCCTTTCCTACTATTCCTCTGGCCTCCAGGATGGGTGAGTCCCTCCCTTCTCCTGGTCCTGGGTTCTCCTAAGGAGCATCAAGGGAGGGGAAGTGGGGAGTGCTGAGAAAAGGTAGGAGGTGTGGCTTGTGCCCTGCCCTGTCTCTTCCTCCCTCTGCTCCTTTCCTTCCTAAGTGAGGAGGAGGGTTTGAGAGCAAGACTCTGGTTCTTTCCTGGGACTCCTGCAGGAGTGCTCCTGGCTAGTTTTCAAATTTTACTTAATTTTAATTTCCCACCTGTGTTTTCTGTGTTGGGGATGCTGGAAGAAAGAACAGGGCAGTCCCAGGGGCCTCAGCCTGGGGGCTGGTGTGCTGGCAGGACGTGGGAATGACTGACAGCTGTGGTCTGCTGCCTTGTGTGTGACCCCTTCCTTATTGCCTTGCTCTGCCTTATGTGTCTTATGTGTCGTGTCTCTGCTACAGCACGGGTTCCCGCAATGGCAGTGGCTCCCCGTCACCAGATGCCTACTCCCTCTATTGCTACCCTTGCACCTGGGGAGATTGCAAGGTGGGCGAGTCCTCCAGCCGCCCACCCCCAGGTCCTCTGCCCTCCACAACCACACAGCCCAGCCAGGCCTCTAGGGCCCTTGCAGAGCCCCTGAGTGGTCGAGCCCCCTCCCTTTTGGGGGCTGACACCCCAGTCAAGACCTACCATGGCTGTCCACCTCTGTTCAAGCCCTCCCACTCCCAGAGACGCTTTGCTCCCTTAGGAGCTCCCAACCCCTTCTCAGGGCCCACCTACCCAACAGGCCCTCCTGCCGCTTCTTCTGGGCCCACAACCTCCTCCAGTGCCTTGGCTACCTCCAGCCCTGCACATTCCCCAGGCCCAGCCTCCCCTGGCCAGGCCTATTCAGCTGCTCCTCCCTCTTCTCCGTCATCCTCTGAGTGGCAAGAACCAGCCCTGGAGCCTCTGGATCCCTTCGAGCTAGGGCAGAGCAGTTCTCCAGAGCTCGGTTTGCTGCGCTGTCAGGAGCCCAGAGTCATGGGAGCACCCGGGCCTGGACCCTGCCTTTCGCCACTTGGTCCCCCTAAAGCCTTTGAGCCAGAAGGTTTGGTGCTGAGGCAGGTCCCTGCCTCACTGTCACCAGCTGCTCTGCAGGGGCCTGAGGCAGGAGGAGCCCGACTCTTTCTTACCCCAGGGCGGATGGAGGGTCCTCCTGCCAGTCCCCGGGATGGAGCCCCAGGCTTTGGAGGCCGGGATGCCCCCTCCTGGCAGCCCCCTGCAGACCTATCTGCGCTCTCCCTGGAGGAGGTCTCTCGCAGTCTGCGCTTCATTGGGCTCTCTGAGGATGTGGTGAGCTTCTTTGCCCGAGAGCGTATTGATGGAAGCATCTTTGTGCAGCTCAGTGAGGATATCCTGGCCGACGACTTCCACCTCACCAAGCTGCAGGTCAAGAAGATCATGCAGTTCATCAAAGGCTGGAGGCCCAAGATATGAACTGCCCTGCCAGTCACTGCACTATTGGAATGCTGGCTCCGAGGCTCTGGGGACTAGTCGTGGGTCTGCCAGGGACAGAGCACTCTGAGAGGCAGGGCCTGCCTGTGGGAGAATCTTTCCAAGACGAAGACTGATCGGCAGCACTCAGAGTTACCAGGAGAGACACTTTGGGTGGTCTTCTGGGCTCAGATCCCTGCAAGGGGACATTTTGCCTTTGTGCAGAGTATATGGGGAGGGGGTTGGAGGCACACCATGTACCAGACCTGGTGAAGCATTTGCTGTGATTTTTAGTGGGGAGGGTGGTGGTGTGTCAAGAGGTGGCCTTCACAGTGATGGGACACCTTCCCCTGCTCGGCAGCAATCCTTCACAATTACATGCTTCTCAAACTTGTAGGTTCAGGTTAGAGAGAAGGGAAGATGGCCCATAATTTAAGCACAAATGCCCCAAGTGCCCACTCTCCTATGTGCTCTGTGGGTTTCTGGCCTGTGGCTGACCCAGAGTTAGGGGTGTGATTTGTGTCTCTGGGATGCCCTTCCTTCCCTTTGCTTTCCCATGATATAGGTGCCTGGCCCTGAGCATAGGTTCAAGTACAAGCCTGTGTCACAACACCTCAGAGGCTCCACCCCTGGGTTCTTGTTCTGGGTGACAACTTAGGAAGAGCACAGTTCTGCTGCTGACCTATCTAGTTAGGGAGGCAGGTGTTCCCCAGTGGTTTCTAGCCCCAGCTCCTGCTCCTCATCACAGCCAGCCATCTGTCTTGTCAGGTAGACTTGTCTCTGAAGACTGCTTTGTGGAAGAGCAGGTGGATTTCGGTCAGCTGCTCCTTCTTTCTAGAGACAAGCAGTGGTCAACCACCCCACATTCCTGCCAGTCTCCTGCCCCCAGCATTGGGCTCTGATGGACATTTAGTGTCCTTCCCTGGTTTTCTGTTACTGGCATAGGAAGTTAGTTAGGTGAGAGAAAGGAGGGTAGCTTTGGAAAACCTGCCTTTCACTCCTTTCACTCCTCCTGCTCGCCTTCATGTACTTCAGAGCAGATCTTTACACTGTTCGCTCTAGAGCCTGGTGACCTCCTTGGTTCCAGACCTCTGGGTCACTGTGTACAAGCCCATGCCACCAACTTCACTGTCACCACAATCTGAAGCACACTACTCCTAATGTTCACTGGGTCAGAGCCCATAGGCGGTAGCCTTCTTTTCTGCCTTACTGAGTCTGCCTAGATATTTATTTCCTGGGTTTCTTTTTATGAGTAGGTAAGCCATGCTGCTGTCCCTTCTGAGGGAGGGAAGTCAGAAAAGAGCACAGGAACAGAGACATTTGGTTTTCTCACAGATTGTTTTCATGAATCCTCAAGGACTAGTGAAATAAATGCTAGGCCCCTGGAGATTAGTGCAAGTGGAATTCTGGGTGTCAACAGCTTTCTTTTGGAGGGTCACAGTGACCAATGGGCACCATGCACATGCTTCCAGGCAAGAGATGGCTTTGGGATGGTGTGTGGATGTAGTCTATTCATATGTCCCCAGAGGCAGCTGGCAGCAGCCTTTACTCCCTTTTGCAAGCACCTCACCGGCTGCTGCCCTACAAGAACCCGCCAACTCCTACTGATTGGACATAATTTACACCCACCTGGTGCTATTGATAGAAAAGACCCAGATGTCAAATCTGGGCTCAAGTTCATCTTTTTGCATTATAGGCATCTGAGGCTCTCAGATCCTCACAGAAAGCTGTTCATGGGCTAGATGGCACACACCTGTAATTCCAGCAACTTGGGAGGCTGAGGCAGGAGGATCTCAAGTTCAAAGCCAGCATCAGCGACTTAGTGATGCCCTGGCTCTAAATAAATTATAAAAAGGGCTGGGGATGTGGCTCAGTGGTTAAGTGCCCCTGGGTTCGATCCCTGGTGCCAAAAAAAGAAAAGAATAGGAAACCTGTTCAAGGCCTTGGTACAGAGGATCAATTTTGTCTTCTACTGGTCATCCAGAAATCCCAACTCAAGAGATAACTGTTGTATGGTTTGCCTTCCTAGCAAATAGCAACCAGTATTTAGTAGAGTTGAAGCTAAACTTCACACTTGCCAGTCCCACCACCTGAGCTGGGACTAGGGAAATGCTTTAAGTACTTGCGAATGGAGCAGAGTGGGCAGTATCTGAGTTTAGAATGCACTGAGTGTTATGGGACTTGAATTAGGATTCTGCACACACTTGGTAACTCAGTGTGGATCTTTCTGCCAGACCCAGTTAGGAGCCCAACACTGTTTATCCAACTGGGCACTACTGCCAGAACACAAGTGTGAGAACCCAGCACACCAGGGACGGGGGTGGGGAGAGATGAGGTGATAGCAATGGGGGAGGCTGCAGTCTTTGCTGCTTCTCGGCCACCTCTCACCTCCATGCAGGCATCTTTCATCTTCCCTGGTGTGGGCCAGCACATGCAGGACTCCTGCATTGGAGAAATGTCATCTCCTCTGTTTAACTCTGACATTGCCACAAACATGCTGAGAAGCAATCATGCATGAGGCATACCAGGAAAGGAAACGGGTACCAGCATACAGTGAGGAGATCCAGTTTGTGGAAAGTCATACCTTTTGCATCCTGGCACACCATTCCTCTTATAATCCTGCTGCTCTCAGTACCCAGGGTCATTTCCCCTGTGAGCAGCCCTGCCAAAGCATTTAAGCAGTTAAGCTTAAATGGCTGTGGGCACAAAGAGTCCCACTTTCTGGTATCACAGTCTCTCTCAAGCAGATGCCCAGAACTCCCCCAGTACCCTCCTACTCCAAAGGGACAGGGCTTTATTCCAGCTCATGTCCTCAAGAAGGGCTTGAGCCAGAAGGGCAAAGACACAAGAAAAAGAACCAAACCAAGCGGGTGATAGTTTGGTTTTTACTGTTGTTCTGTTGGGCTGGGTACAGAAATGCTCTCGCCACCACTAGCCACCACTGGCCTCCTGGGAGGAACAGGTAACAAAAGTGGCTCTGGATGGCTCTTAGCTGCTGATTTGGGCTTCAGGGTTTAGGAAAGGAGCACAGTGGGTTCCACTTTCCAATATGAAGTACAAACTCTAATTCATAGTCAGACTTCACCAGGAAGGAGATGGTCAGAGCTGAAGGCACTTTAATTTAGGAGCAAACTCAAGACCAGGCTTGGTTTTCCTTCTGCTTCCTGATACACCCAGATGGCACTTTTGAAGCAGCGCTGCTGGCAGCTGGGTTAGTGCACTGATGGAGCAGGGCGGGAGGGCCTGCTCACTGGTAGAACTTCTTACTGGGACTGCTGGCGTGGTCAATGAGCAGCTGGCATGGGGTGAACTGTTTTCCATAGGCAGCTTCATACTTCCGGAGCCGGTCCACTATCTTCTGAGCACCATATAGATCCACAAAACGGAAGGGACCTGGACAGAGAAACAGGACTTTATTGAAAGAGGCAGCAATGAGAGCACCAGGATGAAGGGAGACTTGCCAGCCCGCAGACGAACCTCCGAGACAAGGGGGGAAGCCAAGGCCAAAGACTGCTCCGATGTCTCCCTCTGCAGGTGTGGCCAAGATCCCTTCCTGTAGGCACAGCACTGCTTCATTCACAAATCTTGTCACCACACGGTACTGGATGTCTTCATCAGAGGAGCTGCCAACATGAAGAGACAGTTAGGCAGAGGAACAGGGAGGCAAGCAGAGCTGGGGTTGAGTATGAAGTGTGGGTGGGTGCTGGGAGCCCTGTGGCCAGGCAGGACCAAACCTCTCACTCTGCAGAGAAGTCAGCCTGGGAGGCCCAGGCTTTCCCTTGGAAAAAAGGGGTGTTACTTGTCCTAAGTGATATGAAACTGAGCACCCATGAGGGTCTGGCACAAGGGGATAATCAAGTGCTCACAAGTGATAATCAAGAGCTGGGAGGATGAAGGAGCCAAGATGACCACCCTTCCAGCTACTCTCTGGACCTTCCCAGGGAAGGCTAGTGCAGGCAGGGCCTCTGCCAGGCTCCACCCACTCTCACCTGATGTCTGCAAGACTGAGGGCATGTGTAAGGGCTTCATGCCTAGAAAGCCTGTGCCAGCTTCAGGAGCATTCTCTTGGTTCAGGTGAGCATAAGGGAAATAGAACAGGGGCCAGGAAGCTTTGGGCTGTCAGAAATGTATGTTTCCTTGCCCTGAGCCACTCAAACTGACTTACACCTCGGGCTTAGCAGGAAGCCTCAGACTTGCAAAAATAGTATCCATGTCAGAATTCAAACTCTTATTCTTCGAGCCCTCCTGATAAATGTAAAAGCCTTTCCCAGATTTGCGACCTAAAAGAAGAAAAGAAGAGGCGGCATCACTACTTGTTCTCCCAGCCCTGGCCACGAGTGCCTGTCTCTGCTACCTGCTGTAAAGCTCCAGTCTTTTCCCTGCATCCAGCTCACCCTGAAATTCTATCTTTATCAGAAGAGCTGACAGAGAAGGAAGGAAGATCTTATGATTTCTGGAGCTTGGAAATCTGTATCTGCTTGAAAAGGCTGCTCAGATGAGCTTTCATGTCCAGATATGTAACACCAGGCCCCAGGAGGCAAGGCCTAGCAGAGATGTTGCTATTTCCACAGATGTAGCAGAGGTAGAACAGAAATGCCTCTTGGACCTGGTAGTGGCAGAGACCTAGAAGTCTAGACCTTTTTTTTTTTTTTTTTTGGTGGTACTGGGGATTGAACCCAGGGATGCTCTATGATGAGCTATATCCTCAACCCTTTTTATTTTGAGACACGGTCTTGCTAAGCTGCCTGGGCTGGTCTTGAATTTGTAATCCTCCTCCCTCAGCCTCCGAAAGCTGCTGAAATTACAGATGTGCACCACCACATCTGGCTTTCTCTCTGTCTTTTGTCTGTAATTTATAGGACTAGGTGCCCAGGAAATCATTTTTGAAACTCCCTATGACCAGGCTTGAGTGTTTAAGAAACACTCTTCCCTGTGGGCCTTCAGTGATTCTATGTTCTCAAGACCATGCTCAGAACTTTGTAACTAATGGTGCCAGTCATGTT